CATAATGTAGCAGTCATCATAATTTAAGTACATGCATTATTTACCTTCAAGAACCGTCCACGGTTGTTCTCCTTTAAGTCCAGGTAGTACCTCTTGGTCTCACCGCTAATCATCTCACTAAAATAATGGTGAATGAATTGAAAGAAATGACCATTAAAGGGACATGGTCCACTAGCATGCAATGCGATCGTGTTTTAGATTTTTCATATATGGAAAATTAGGTGACTTCGAATATCCATTTGCAATCGGTTTCCATCCATTGGTTTAACGGTCGAATCTTAAAGCATCTCCATTCATAATAGGATAAAGGAACAATAAAGAGTAAGTTTTTGCTTATATTACCATGTATTTCTATTTTCAAAAATAAACAAAAGCTCGAAAGGGATGCTGGTGGACCAATGTCCCTTTAGTTCATAACAAAGATTATTCATTATAAAATATATAGATCTATTAAATGACACTGAAATGCAAGTAAGTAAGTAGTCATGGTAGTGTGTAAAAAAGGGCTAACTTTTCACATGGTAAAACCAAACTACTAATAACCTTTTCAAGCGACCATCCTCTGGCACTGCCTCCTCAGCTTTAGATGCTCCTGTATCTAATAAAATTGGAAAACAAATAAGACACTTCTAGACAATTCTATGACTTTAATAGTCCTTATCTGAGATAGCAGTTTGCATTGCATTGTGGTCTAGATTCGGTACAAACATATCTTGTTCATGCTGCCAAATATGGCACTGCTTGTATTGAAGCTAGACCACAATGCACTATGATTTTGTATTTAAGAAAAGGTCTATGGAGTCAGAACTTCTTGACACAAAAGAGCAGTGTTGTCGGAAACACATAAACTTTTTTCTTTCCTTTTTTTCTTTTAGCTATTTTACTCAAGCAACAAATCAATTGACATTCCATTCATTTGGCGGAGCAAAAACCTAATGTCCAATAACTTCATAGTCTCCTCGCAGCCGTTCTTAGTGGCCGGCTCCCTCCCCCAGGGAACGGCTAAGAACGGCTGCGAGGAKACTAATAACTTCATTGAGGATTTAAAATTTTGTACCTTGCTGAGCCAAGAACTCTGCAAAGATTGTCAACTTGTCACGCAGTTCTCTTCCACATCCAACTGTGAGAATGACTTTGCGCTTGACATTTCTGTTTGTAGACATCTAGAATAAAAGRATTTGGAAGAATTCAGGAGAATTTGTGTTTTAATCACCACTTTGATTGTGTTCTGCATTGTTATCAACAAGCCCTGACAAAATTCACCACATGCAAATAATGATAGACAGCCGCCAATCAAAAATGTCACACAAACTATCTGTTGGCACATAAACTATCTGTTAACATTTAAGATGAGTGACAGCAGTCTTTTGCTAATTGCAGCTGTGGCCATAATATACAACATAAGGACAATTTAAAAATGACATTAAATGTGTGGGCTACATCAATTCTTCCCAAGTGTTTGTTTAGGTGTAAAACTTGAACCAAAGTGAAAACATTACCCAAATGAAAACAAGCAAAATAAAAACAATTGCTTGACTAGTGAATAAGCTAGTTATCCCCATTTTTTATGTTTTTCTCATAACTTCCTTATTTTGGAGGTATCTTTTCTTATTCTCTTGTTCTATTTCTATTCCTTGGCTTTATTATTATTATTATTATTTTAATGTTGACTTAAGATCATTTGTAAGTTCGAGTTTAAGTGTTATGGAATATTTTACAAGACCAAAAATATTAAAAAACAACAAAAACAACAGCCACAGAAAGTCAAGAAAAATAATGATTTTTTCTGCATCCTTTTTTACATATTATTCCCATCCTTATYCCTTATAGACTTTTATAAATATATTCTATTTTTGTCCCTGGATGTTATTGTTATTGCTATGGATTATCTTGAAGTTCAAGTTCAAGTGTAATGCTATATATTTATTCAAGGWGTGACATTTCACAATCATGAAACATAATGATGTTGTTAGAGKTTTATTGACTGTCACAAAACATATCATCCAAAATATAAAAGGCAGACTTCCTTGTTTTTGATACGAAAGGTTTATGTTAAAATCAAATTATAGAATATTTATAAACTTTTTTAAAATATACTGCATGCTATAATTAGCCTGATGAACATATATAAGACTTTAGACTTAAAAATTTCCATATTTTTTAAAATACATTAAAGTAAAGGTAAACACATGCATACCTTAACTACTTTTGGAAATAAAAAAATGCTTTGCTAAGAATAGTCTAAGTAATGAAATAAAATTAAATGATTACAAAAGTGTTGAAATTCCAGATTTCTGTGTCCTTCAATTATTCACTAAGGCATAAACGTCAACAAATTATCTTAGGAATGACCACTTATGGGGATATTAAATTTCAAAATATTATCACCGAAAAGTTTCTTTGTACAAGTTTCAATGATGCAGGATTGCCAGCCAGAGCTTTCTTGATTTTCAAACTTAAATTCAAGTTATTTTCAASGCRACAACATACAAGTAAAAACTTGCAAACGATATTGATTCGACTCAACTGACAGATTTCGCAATCCTGACATAATTATSTGTATTTACATTTGGATCGAGATTTACATATTTAAAGTACAAATGATCTTCCAATTGCAAAGGTAACATTCGCCCACGACATTATAGGCAAAATATACTATAATTGGAAAATTCATCAAACGTTTTTCTAATCCAAACAGCTGTTTTTTTTAAACTGCACAAACAAAAACAATAGTTTAAAAATTGCGGAAATCGGAGGTGTTTCGTGGACAATAGATCCGAGCGAAGATTTTAAAGTGACTTGTTTCGCTTCGAAAATCTTGTGAATTTTATTATATAGAGTTAATTATCTCAAAAAAATACAAACATGAATTGATAATCTGCAGTCTTGTCTTGAGCTAAATATCTGTGAATTATATTGTAAGTTGGTTTAAATTTCCACCATGAATTTGAAAGCGATCTTGCAACGTGTATTGAGCTAGTAGTATAGCAAGATTCCACAATACCAATTTGAATTATTCATGTACATGATTTTATCTTTGCCACAATAAGTTATAGCTCTCTATCCGAGACAAGTCTTGGCTAGAAAATCAAAGTCGTGTCGATATGCAGCAGAAATTWAGATATTTTCCATCAAAAATGCCGGTTCACACTTCAGTWGATGTGTACATAAGCTTAAACAAATTTCCATATTAGATCGAGGGTTGAATTAATATTTTCCTTAATAAGGAAAATTTTAAATTAAAGTATTTTTTGGAGGAATTTTACTGTAAGTAAGACAGCACCGAAGTTAGTGTTTATCCAAGGCTTTCGTTGCGATAAAAAAATCACAGAAAAGGGGCGCCTTGCTAGTGTATTAACGTCTAGCACAGAAACAACTGTAGATTTTAGCGAATTTTCCTTCACAGCGAATTTCTTTGCCTCGGCATCACCAAATGCAAGTATAATCCCCCAATTTTCAGCCCTAAAATGATGCATTATCATTTTGTAGAGGACATAACAGCTGTTATTCAAACCAAGGGTAAAAATAATTTGCTTTCGCTACAAGACTAGTTCGCCATTTTGTATCGACGAAGCCGGTCGAAAAAATTTTTCTCTCGCTCACCTCGCTGATTTTAATRTATTTGCCACGACGATTGCTCTTCAAATCAATGTAAAATCGTTTGGACTGGATCTGCAGGCTCTTGCTCATGATCTCTTCGTCCCCTAGGAAAATATAAAGAAAAAAATAAACCGAAATTCTCAGCAAAATATTGAGAATTTAAACTCATTATGACCGGACGCAGGATAAATATGTCGATCTTGCATCTTTGATCGATAAATTTTCGGTCAAAGAGACATACAATGCAGCTAAAAAGCTCCAAAATTGTAGAACAGCTTCTTTTTGTTAGATGAAAAWGTACCTTCGATGTTGCTTGGTCTCTGGTCATTGTATTCCCCCTCATTCGCTCCATCACCGGTGGCAGCCATTTCTCTACTCCTTCTTCACAAACCAGCAGCCATGTCAACTGAATACGCACCCTACCCCCCTATAAATTCCCTGAAGCTAGACCATAATCAGATACCTTATATGGAAATATCAGMACAGCTGTTGTCACGTAAGTGTCACGTAATCTATGTATTTTGCGAACTTTGKGCCGATTGTATGAAGTTCTATTGCATTATTATATTCATAAGAGGCTAAAACACTATTTAAAATCGTTATCACCACTTTGACTAGGCGCTCTGAAAGCGCGTACTCGCATCCTAGCGAAAGGTGACTGTAATTACCTTTGTTTGAAATGTGAAATTTAGAAAATGAAAATGTATAATGTTTTTTTCTTTTACTTTTATGTAGTTTGGGTAGTGACAAAGGTTTTAATCAATTGTGTTCAATCGATGAACAATGCAAAAGTCAGGAGTTTTTTAATTTATAAGATTCAAAGACGACTAAACTTAGTAATTTTATGGCAGGGAAGGTTGAGTCCAAGGTGTTGTCAATGACGCACTGTACTTTTAACAGTCCGTCATGTTGAGTATTCCCTATTTCTCTCTCGGTTCTCTGATCTATTATCCCAATGTGTAATTATTATCCTCTCCGTTATCTAAGGCACTYAAMTTGTCCCGAGATCGGCCTACTGCAAAGATGACACATTGCATTCGTTTTGTGACAAAGTCAATTTAGCCTACTTTTATTACATTAAGTCATGATTGTGTATACATTGATTCATCGTCTGCAATTATCTTAATTCTTAATTCCTTTAACTGGTATGCGCTCTCCTTCTATGTAATTCCCAGTGTCAATGATAACCTTAGGGGGAGGGGGAAATACTCTCGGTGGATCATCATCATGTACTTCCTTCTTTGATGTCATTGGACCSGACCGTTTGGTAGGAGTAGCAGTCTTCCACAGGACATCTGCTTTTTGTCCAATCACATCCTCGAACTGACCGGTCAGCGTAAACTCGTACCAGGCCTCGTTAGTGAGTGCGTCGATTATCGGCTTAGCATTGGTCCAGCGGTTCATCATCTCAGACCACATCCAAGGATGCTGTCCTTGATTACTTTGCTCTTTTAATGCCTTATAGAAGGGTTTTGACGAGTCACCAAATCGATAAGGAAAAGATGGTCTTGAAGTGCTGCCTCTGTGTCTGATAAAAATAATATCGAAGTTGATCATTGTACCCTTGCCCATATATAAGCACTGGCGGGAAAAAATCGCGCGCACTTTAAATATTGTAAATTTGATGTAAATATTATGTAAGTCTCCAAAATGATGTAATTAATTTGATGTAAATGATTACATCATTATGGACACATTAAATTTAGAACTTTTAAAGTGCGCGATTTTTACCAGAAGGTTATAATAATTCTACAATTCATACTCATTCTCTGCTAAAAATTCTTCGTATGCATGCTTCGCCTCCAATAATTCTTCATGTATAATATCATGCTCAGGTTTTTTTAGTCTTTATATCATACATAAGGACGGGATACAGATAATTCGACTTTGAAACAAAATTTCTTACTTAACGTGATAGTTAGTGCTGTCTCCGTCGTATCCACCTCCCCATCTTAAAAATCCATCCAACTGAGCTGAGAAATGCACTAGGACTGTAGCGGTGTATGGAACTGTAGATCTWTGATTTGAACAGAATGAATGAAAGAATAAACCTTTATTTATTATGAAGCTTAGGATGGCCCCATCAGTTGCATGTGCAACAGAACCAGACGATCAATGATTTTAATATATAGATATGTAATATAATTATCATCAACATCACAACCATACTTTTAATTGCCCTATTTCATTATGACGTCACAGTATGTTTACATCGGAAAACGATGCTCAAAAACAGTGGAAATTTGGACCAATTTATATTGTCGACTAAAGTAGAACTTCAATGAATCGTGTTTTGATATATATCATGTATAAATGATTGTTCATGTACATTTTATTTGAAATGCAGTCACTCTGATCCCTTCTGGCCACCATAATCCTTAGCGTTAAAACAATAGAATGTTTTGATGTGACGTCATGATGAACTAGGGCAATTGTATCATAAAAATAGCCACAGTTATTTTCAGATATCAGAATTTTCGCATTGATGTTGAGTCGCGATCACGATCAAGTATTGCGCAATTTTAGTGTCAAGCAAGAATCGACATTTTTTTGCCAGCACTGAATGACGTGCACATCATCGACCGTTTTGGTATCGTCTTTACAGAAACGGAACTATAGCCGACTTTGAATATTTTGGTTCAGTGACCATGCACAAAAAAACTGCAGACCAGGCTCCGGGAAAATAAAAGAATAAATCAAAATTATCCACTGTTTTCCCAGATCCTCGTGTTCGTTCTTTTGAAATAGTCATCGAACCAAAATATCTAAAGTTGACTATTGTAACAGAGCACTGATGCAATGCACTGCACGTACCTTGAGTTTGACAACATGATTTTCCATTCAACAGCTGACTTAGGATCAATAGTGGTTTCCGATCTAAGCCTAAATTTGTTAAACTGTTGATTAGAGGTGGAATCAGTGGTAGTTTGCGTCGATTCGTAATTGAATTTATAGCTTATTCCACCACTAGCCCCCCCTGTGGCTGGAGGGACGTATTTCAACTCTATGCCTAGCTCATGCGCATGCGTCCAAGAACTWGTCGTTGTGTGGGTAACAGTACGGACTGATCGGACCTCTTCCTCAAGAAAATGTTTAACAGGAGTTGAGAGCTGGTTTGTGACTGTGCCTTCATCATATACATAAGGTTTTAAAGACTGTTGTACAGGTGTGCCATATTTAATATCCTTGATAGTGAATCTAAAGTCACCGTAGTTGATTTGAAGCCTGCGGTCGGATTTATAGCCTGAGCAAGAAACCAAACTCGATCGCTTGTCAGCTACCCAGGTATCGCCGKKTCTTCGGAAGTCTTCGCCGACGTATTGACYTCTGCARCCCGAGCACMATCCGTAGCCGAGGTAGTGGGCGAGTTTACTGAGGTGGTACATTGTCATATCCATGACTCGTGTCTTGGCATCAGAGAGAGACTGTAACACAGGGATTTCTAGAACGAAATAAAGTAAAGATATCGTCATTGGAAAAAGCCTCGGGTAATAGATTTCTTTCAYAKWTT